TTTTAAACAGGGCTTGATATTGTCTTTCACTGAGTCTTAGAATAACTCTCATTCAGCCACATCACATTTTGAGTTCCTGGAGATAAAATTAGGATGTAAAATGTTTAGTGGTGAGAATTATCCTTCAGGTCTAACCCTAACCCTGTTATCAGTGTGTAATCAGGGTGTAATCAGGGTGCGACTTAATAATGTTCAAAAGAACAGCTACATGGAATACAGAACTCACTGCTAACAAGCCCCAGCTGTGCTAACAACAAAACAGTCACCAGAAACAGGAAGTGCACCCCACTTAACTCCCCTTGTGGAACCAAACTCACCACAATCGTCCCAGTTTGTACTTCCGTTACCTCAGAAGGTGACATGTGACATTTGCCATTTTTATCTGATTTCACAAAAAAATTATATCTGATGCAAATTGCCTCTAAGTTGTTTTTGCACTTGTTTTGCAATTGTGCCTCGCTTTTCCACGAAGAATGCATTTCAGATGTTCTTCAACAAGAGTCATATACGAATGTATCATATTGGAGTTGCAAATGGGGGTGAATTGCTATAATCGACTAAACATTGGAGGCACTACTAAGTGGACACTGTAGCTAACTGGAGATTGACATTATCATTAATTAATGTACATACTCGATGCGTATAGTTTGCCATCTGTCTGCTGTTTGATGTTGATGACATTGCTAGTCTTTAGTGAGTGTTTTCATTTACAGAATACAAATAACAAAACCTACACGTAGTAACTTACTCCTGTGTTAGGATAACTGGTAGACATTTAATTATATTAAGCATAGCTTGTCTATTTAGTAGCTTACTCCTGTGTTAGGATAACTGGTAGACATTTAATTATGTTAAGCATAGCTTGTCTATTTAGTAGCTTACTCCTGTGTTAGGATAACTGGTAGACATTTAATTATGTTAAGCATAGCTTGTCTATTTAGTAGCTTACTCCTGTGTTAGGATAACTGGTAGACATTTAATTATGTTAAGCATAGCTTGTCTATTTAGTAGCTTACTCCTGTGTTAGGATAACTGGTAGACATTTAATTATGTTAAGCAAAACTTTGTTCTACCTGCTGATCCTCATATCTGTGCTTTCACTTACCTGTATCCTTCTCTTCCTGGTTGTGATTTTGGATGCTGTTGCCCTGTTACCAGAGTGACGCAGCCTTCTACAGTATAAGAAGGTTAGCTGGCGTGACAGGATTTGATGCTGCTCTATAAATAAGACACATTTCCCAGTGAGTCACCAGTCTGCAGTTACCACTTCACGCTTCTCTGCCAGTGATCACTGGAGTTTGAACCTTCTCCACACTGCGTTAATTGGATGCAAAAAAAACGTTCACATCACTAACTCTGTAACTGTCTATAACACAGTCTACAACACAGTCTACAACACAGTCTACAACACTGTCTACAACACTGTCTACAACACTGTCTACAACACTGTCTACAACACTGTCTACAACACAGTCTAAAACACAGTCTGAAACACTGTATATAATCGTCTATAACACTGTCACACCCATTGTAATTGATGTATTCTCTACTATTGGTTTGCCAGTATTTGCGGAGCATTTCAGAGGCTGACACCCAAATATTCCATTCACCCACCTGGCTAATCCAACCTGGAACCTCACCAAGTACCAGATAGCAATGACTGAACAGGGGAGTGTAGAGAGAGATGGGGAAGAGAGAACAGTAGAGGATAGAGAGATATGAGGAGGAGAGAACAGGAGAGGATAGAGAGAGATGAGGAAGAGAGAACAGGAGAGAACAGGAGAGAATAGAGAGAGATGAGGAAGAGAGAACAGGAGAGGATAGAGAGAGATGAGGAAGAGAGAACAGGAGAGTATAGAGAGAGATGAGGAAGAGAGAACAGGAGAGTATAGAGAGAGATGAGGAAGAGAGAACAGGAGAGGATAGAGAGAGATGAGGAAGAGAGAACAGCAGAGTATAGAGAGAGATGAGGAAGAGAGAACAGGAGAGGATAGAGAGATATGAGGAGGAGAGAACAGGAGAGGATAGAGAGAGATGAGGAGGAGAGAACAGGAGAGGATAGAGAGAGATGAGGAAGAGAGAACAGGAGAGGATAGAGAGAGATGAGGAAGAGAGAACAGGAGAGGATAGAGAGAGATGAGGAAGAGAGAACAGGAGAGGATAGAGAGAGAGTAGGAAGAGAGAACAGGAGAGGATAGAGAGACATGAGGAGAGAACAGGAGAGTATAGAGAGAGATGAGGAAGAGAGAACAGCAGAGTATAGAGAGAGATGAGGAAGAGAGAACAGCAGAGTATAGAGAGAGATGAGGAAGAGAGAACAGGAGAGGATAGAGAGACATGAGGAAGAGAGAACAGGAGAGTATAGAGAGATATGAGGAAGAGAGAACAGAGCTGATTCAGTGTTGAGTCATTAGATGAGATTATGAGGTGACATCTCCATCGTGCCGGTGGCTATCAGGCTAAAAAACATTCTAATGTTTTTTGATGTACGAAAATGACAGGGTGCCCTGTAACTGACAAATGTAGGTAAATTAAACAAAGGCCAATGAAAAGCTCTGAGGATATTATATAAAAGACAGATAATAACATGCTATAGCAAATGAAACCATACAGTTCCTCCATTTTGGGTGTTTTTACCTTCCAAACAGCCCAGTCCTCATTTCCATGGGGACTATGGACTGTCCACAATTCTGAAGTGAATGAGGCATGTTTCTGGAACAATTTCGTGACAATATGTGTAATGTGATATGGCACATTAAAGTATGCATGTGACAAAGGGTTAACTGTAATCATGGAGTGATGTGTACCTGATCGGCAACAATGTTGGTACCACAGTACCAAACGTGCGCCAGGAAAACAATCCTCACAGCATTTCACCAGCGCCACTCGTCTGTATCATTAAAAACCAAGGTACCAAACGTGTGCCAGCAAAACAATCCTCACAGCATTTTACCAGCGCCACTCGTCTGTAACGTTAAAAACCAAGGTACCAAACGTGTGCCAGGAAAACAATCCTCACAGCATTTCACCAGCGCCACTCGTCTGTATCGGTGAAACCAGGCAGTCTGGCTCCAGGGACTTGTGCTACTCTTGCCAAATGTTCACTCTGCTGTCATTTTGGCACAACAGGAACTGGATTTCCTAGGATCAGGCAGTTCTTGTGACCATTGATCCTAATTCTTTCTGTTTTAGTTGATGGAATCTGATCTGGTCATCTACTACGATCGCCTTGACGTGACAAGAGTTTTGGGTTCTGTGATGTTGTGCTAATGATTCGATGTTAGCTACTTTATTGAGTTGCTAGGTTTTACAATTATTGCTGGCCTTCATTGAAAATCATACCATGCTCAAAGTTTCTGAGATCAGTTGTTCGCCCATTCTGATGGTCAGTTGACTTGTATCGTAATGGCCCCTATGAAGGAACTCGATAACACCGGGGCAGATGGGTATGATTTACTGAACCCATAGCTTAGCGGGGCCCTCTGATCGTAATGGTGCCAATGTTGTCAATAAATGAGGGGGCCCCAGGCATGTTCCCTTTCAGGGGGCCCAGGATTCTTGGCGACGGCCCTGCCTCACCACCAGTCTGCGTTATATACAAGCCATGGCCTAACGAGTGATCCAATTAACCTTTCTGTTAGCAAAATGGCAGGTCATGTGACAAGTCTAATGTTTTTTCTCGCCCGTGAAGACATAACATAACTTTTAACTGTACTTTTTAACGAGCACCTCGCCGCTGTTGTAGCCTGCTGGCCAGCATGGACTAGATTGAAATGGGATCAACAAGATGACTTACTGACCCGACTAAACCAAATCCATTCATGTTGACACTCGGCTGCTGGACATGTGTCACCCAATGTCACCCTATGTCATCATATGTCATTAGTTTGGGCACCAAGTGTGTCAGTAAAGGGTTTCCCATGAGTGTGAGAGGATGTCAGTCTCGGGGACCAGCTTTTGTCTTGTCAACATCACTGGCCATTCAATGTATTGATTTGTGACTGAATGAAGTCCTCTTCAAATCAATGCAGTCTAGGCACATGGATATAGAGTATTGCTAAAGTGCCCCGTGATCCAGTAGTAAAGCACTTTATTTACAAGTCCAGGGACAAAAGCGTGATTATTTAGCTGAAATCAGGCCAAGTAGTAGGCAGATTGAGAAGCTAGTGACAGCTGGTGACTGTGTTTCCTCCGTCACATTCTACACAAGTGTAGAATGAAATGCATGAAGCAATGTGGAGGACTGTGAAGCAGACCTTTGTTTGACTGCTCTGTCCATAGAACCAGAATATACAGATGGCACATTAGCCGACCATCCGCATGTTTACCGTCATATTTCATAAACCACTTGACCAGACATGGTTATTCCGGGAGACCACTCCATCCGTGTGTACATCCTTCTATTTGTATTTGCTGCTACTTCTGAAACCTTAGAAAGGTGAAACTTGACTGTTTGGTCCCTGAAGTTTATTTTACAGGGAAAATGTGATATACAGCTTGGAAATTATGTTTAGGGAACAGTTTTACATTGTGCAGTTTTACATTGTAAAATAGGGGTTACATCTAGGTTTTAGGTAGGACTAGGTCATATTTTGGCATGAAGTTTAGGTTATTGTTTCGGTTTTTGTTGGGTTAAGGGTTAAGTTAGGGAAAGAGAACTAAGAAACCTGGATATTTGAGCATGTAAACCGGAATTATTGGGCATGTGAACCGGGAATTATTGGGCATGTGAACCGGAATTATTGGGCATGTGAACCGGAATTATTGGGCATGTGAACCGGAATTATTGGGCATGTGAACCGGAATTATTGGGCATGTGAACCGGAATTATTGGGCATGTGAACCGGAATTATTGGGCATGTGAACCGGAATTATTGGGCATGTGAACCGGAATTATTGGGCATGTGAACCGGAATTATTGGGCATGTGAACCGGAATTATTGGGCATGTGAACCTGGATATTTGAGCATGTAAACCGGAATTATTGGGCATGTGAACCAGAATTGGCAGCTCAGTGGTAGAGTGCACGCATTGTATGTATGATGTCCTGGGTTCAAACCGCAGCTTCTCCCCAGGTTGTCATTGCAAACGTTGTCCCCTCTGAGTTCTAAAATCAACTTACCTGGTTGAATTAAGAAAATTAAACAGCCAGATTTTTTAAATTAATAATAATAACAATGATTGTAATTAATGAATTTATTCAGATTGTGTTTTCGCTGATTCGTTTGTACTTTGTCAATAATACTGGCCACTTAACATTCATTATGATGGTCCTCTTTTCACAAGAATAGCTGATTGAGAACCAATTCACTTAATGATAAAAACCTTGTCAAAGCCATAACAACTGCAAAACAAAACACTAGAATAGAATAATTAGGCACTGGAGGCAGGGTGCATCTGGTTCTAGTAGATACCACAAGATACTAACATCTCACATACATCTAACATAACATACAACTAACATACAACTAACATACATCAGACATACAACGTGGACTATGGTTACGGCTGGCATTCTATGTTGAATTCAACTAGGGAAAACATACATAGGTGTGTGAACAATACTGCTTAAGATTTGAGCAAACAGAACAGAAGCTATTTGTAAACGGAGACTGATGAGACATTGGGAACCTGAGTGACAAATGAACTGGGAATTAATTTGAGTCCAGAGGGAAGTTACACATTGTGACTGGTGGCAGGGGGAGCTGTGGTATGTGATGCACAGTATATGTTAAAAAACAATTAAACACTATCGAAAAGACATTATGTACAATGGAAAAGGCACATATTGACAAGGACAAATAGGATGTTGGCCGTCATGTGATTATTTTAATACCCAACTTGGTAAAAGCTGCTTTACCAGAATGAAAGTCATGTGCAACAGAAATCTTAATATAACGTTAAGGACAAAATAAGTCGCGAAAAAATCTATTGAACTTGTTTTTTTTCTATTAAAAACAAATGGTTTTCCACAAAATATAAACAAAACAGGTGATGCAAAAAAAATCCAAATTTATTGAAAATACCCAAAAAGCATTAAAAGATATGAAATAAAAAAGGCTGTCCTTTTATCACACTGTGCGAGAGTAAAACCAAAGTGAAACTCCAAATAGAGAAGAGATAATCATCACTGATGCAGAGTAAGGCGTCTGGTTGTCTTCATTTAGTGTAGCACCTGTACCCCCCTGTGTCAGCTTCACAGTGAGCTCAATAAGCCTGTTGGTGTCTAAATAGAGAGGAGACGAGTTAATGGTGACAGGTGGATCAATTGTTCTTTTCCCTAATCACTCATTAGGCCGTTGTTCTCCTGGGTATCCAAATACCCTGAATGCCGTGCTCTTACTATACATTCACACAAAATACTAGAAACCTGGAAAGTCAATCAATCAAATTTATTTATAAAGCCCTTTTTACAACAAAGTTGTCACAAAGTGCTTTTACAATCACCAGCCTGAATCCGACAGAGCAAACATCAACAAGTTGAACAAAAAAACAAGTTGAACAAGTTGATACACGGCGGCTAGGAAAAACTCCCTGAAAGTCAGATTTAGGAAGAAACCTAGAGAGGAACCAGGCTCTGAGGGATTACCAGTCCTCTTCTGGCTGGGCTGGGTCAGTTTATGACAGTACAACAAGCGAGGTGTGAATATCTGAGAAACAAAATAGTCCGGGATGACCGGGAGGGATGATGGGTGTGATAGGCTTGGAGGAAGAAGCTCCGGTTGCATCAGCTGTTGTGTCAGCCGCACAGTCAGGGGCCCCAGGGAGGATCCAGCATATGCTCCAAGCTGGAGCGGTCCCCCTGACAGAAGTGGACACAAACACAGGGAAAGGTTGGTCACTAGTTCCCGGCACAATAGTATACCGAACATAATACTTTAAAAGGAGACAGGGGGGTTAGTGAGACAATGGCCATGAACGGGTAAACCCAGGACAAGTCCAGACAGATGTTAGTAGAGACAGGACACAGGAAAGGTTAGACACCCTGGTTCCCTACGTCCCCGGCACCATAATATAGCAGCATAGATCTTAGAATGAGACAGGGGACCCCAGTGAAGCTGGGGCCCTGAACAGGGTAAACCCCGAAACAGGGCCCAATAGGCCGGAAAACACCCACCCACTATGCCGAGCATCAACCCAGGGACGCCAATCGACCATGACCACTCGGGCAGGTTTAGTTTTTGCTCACAAAGTTACTCGAGCTGGTGGAACAAACAAGAGCTATAGCGAGCCAGTGACATCCACACCCCAAGGAGCATATGGGAGGTTTAGTTTTTGCTCACAAAGCTACTCGAATTGAGGCTGCAACGGAGCACTATAGCGACCCAGTGACTCCTCCCCACAGTTAACTGGCATAATTAGAGTTTAATTCACCAGCTACTCGGATTGAGCGAACAAAGGAGAGCTATAGCGAGCCAGTGACTCCACCCCCCAGGCAGCAGCCTGGAGGTATCGTTTTTGCTCAAAAAGCTACTCGAGAGGCAACAACAGGGAACCATAGCGAGCCAGTGACTCCACCCCTCAGTCAGCAATCGAGAGGACACCCCAGGGGAGATGTGAACCCGCAAGGCAAAGACAGCAGGGCAGAATGAGATCCGAGCCTTCCGTTCAACCTTCGTACCCTGGGCCATATTACACTCAACCATAGACCTTACTGAAAAGATATGTTTTTAATTGTGATTTAAAGGTTTGAACAGAATCTACATTTCTAACCCAGATTGGCAACTCATTCCATAATAGAGGAGCTCTATAGGAGAAGGCTCTACCTCCAGCTGTTTGTTTAGAAATTTTAGGTACAATTAGGAGACCAGCATCCTTTGATCTAAGGTTACGCGTGGGTATGTATGGCTGGACTAATTCAGCGAGGTAGGTGGGAGCAAGTTGATTTAAAGCTTTATATGTTAACAGTCGTACTTTAAAGTCAGCCCTAGCCTTAACAGGCAGCCAATGTAAAGAGGCTAAAACTGGGGTAATATGGTCAAACTTCTTAGTTCTAGTTAAGATTCTAGCAGCCATATTAAGTACTAATTGAAGTTTGTTTATTGATTTATCAGGGTAACCAGAGAATAGAACATTGCAATAATCTAATCTTGAGGTAACAAAAGCATGGATTAGTTTTTATGCATCAATTTTTGATAAATAATTTCAGATTTTTTGCAATATTCCGAAGATGGAAAAATGCTGTCCTTGAAATATATTTTATGTGATCGTCAAATAAGAGATCCGGGTCAAGGGTCACTCCAAGGTTTCTGACAGTTTTTGTGAAATCACTATACATCCGTTTAGGTTCAGCTTAAGGTCTGTCAATAAATCTCTCTGTTTCTTAGTTCCTAAGAAAGTGGGGTCATTAGAGAGCCAGTAAGGAGTGCCTTGGACCTCTGGCATGGTAGGCTACTCTGGCATTGGGAACAGACATACAGTATATCCAGAAAGCCACAACGCTTGGGCAGTCAGACTTAACCGAGCAACATACGTCACTACTGCATCTGCAACGTCGCTGCTCGTCAGAGGGTGCGAAATTAGTGTTTTTTGGGGATCAGGGCTTTGGATAAACAGCCAGCTACTGACAGATCTGACAGGGAAGGAGGACATTGATTCACACCCACATGAAAGCACAACAATGTATCATTTGCTCCTGCATACTTGTGCCCCCCAACCCCCCCCGTCACCACTACCCTTCTAACGAACAAGCGCCCTCTGGGGACGTGGCCTTCTGTCTACACAAAGCAGACTTCCAACACAACAGCAACACATGAAACGCAGAGGAACCTCAACACAACAGTGGTTTAAATATCACTGCATCCTGCAATATACATCGTCTCCCTTTCTCTCTCTTTCTCCTTTTCTCACTCTCTTTCTCTCTTTCTCTGTCAGTCCTTCCATATATTAGAGCTGCATGCAGCATCCAGCGTAAATAAAAGCCATCTATTTATAGTTATTTATGAGGGAGAAACCTTTAAAATAACAGCATGCAGAATCTAATTAAACATCTAATCTTGGTTGTAATTACTTAACACCACATGTGCTACTCCCAAAGGGGTAAAGGCTGTGTGACATTTTCCCTAACATTCAAACGGGTGTATGTGGCTAACTGCTAATAAACACCTCTTTTTAGAGAGATAATCTGGGAAACAGAGGTGCTGGGCTAACAGGATTAGTTTAAGTTAAGTATGCATAAAGGGAATGTTATGATGGCATTATAACCTATGTCATTCAGAATGTCTGTCATGTTTCATACTGTAATCAATATGTGTAGCATTCCAGTTTTTCTGCTTGTGTATATGTGAGATCATGCTGAGAGAGTCTCACAGTTATTCACATGGAAACCAGTGTGTATCATTGATGCTCACGAACCACCTTGACTGTCCTTGGTGTTCCTGTATCAAGATCCTCTTCTATAACCAGCGGCTCACTCTGGTACCGCTTCACAATCAGTATAGAAATACAGTGCATTCGTGGTGTTCAACATATTGTCTATGGTTAGATATCTGCCAGAGATGCTAGCTGAATGATACCACCCTGTATCTATGGTTAGATATCTGCCAGAGATGCTAGCTGAATGATACCACCCTGTATCTATGGTTAGATATCTGCCAGAGATGCTAGCTGAATGATACCACCCTGTATCTATGGTTAGATATCTGCCAGAGATGCTAGCTGAATGATACCACCCTGTATCTATGGTTAGATATCTGCCAGAGATGCTAGCTGAATGATACCACCCTATATCTATGGTTAGCTATCTGCCAGAGATGCTAGCTGAATGATACCACCCTGTATCTATGGTTAGATATCTGCCAGAGATGCTAGCTGAATGATACCACCCTGTATCTATGGTTAGATATCTGCCAGAGATGCTAGCTGAATGATACCACCCTGTATCTATGGTTAGCTATCTGCCAGAGATGCTAGCTGAATGATACCACCCTGTATCTATGGTTAGCTATCTGCCAGAGATGCTAGCTGAATGATACCACCCTCTATCTATGGTTAGCTATCTGCCAGAGATGCTAGCTGAATGATACCACCCTGTATCTATGGTTAGCTATCTGCCAGAGATGCTAGCTGAAGG